AGGCACAGTACTTGCCCCATCCTGTTCCTCATCCTCATATCAGACTTAGACACAGATGTAATCCACAGCACCGTATCATCTTTTGCAGACGATACTAGGAACTGCATGAGGCTGTCATCTATTGAGGACGCGGTTAACCTCCAAGAAGATATAAACCAAGTTTTCCAATGGGCAACGGAAAACAGTATGATGTTCAGTGAGGACAAATTCCAACTACTCCATTATGGAAAACTGGAGGAGATAATAACTAGAACTCTGGCCATACAATAGAGTGGAAAAATAATGTAAGGGACCTAGGAGTAGTAATGTCTGAGGATCTCACTTTCAAGGATCACAACAGTGCCACGATCACAAGTGCAAAGAAAATGATGGGATGGATAATGAGAACGTTCAAAACGATGACCCTTTTCAAATCACTTGTTCTCTTTAGGCTGGAATATTGCTGTACATTAACATCTCCGTTCAAAGCAGGTGAAATAGCACATCTAGAGAGTGTACAGAGAATCTTTACTGCACGTATAAGTTCTGTCAAGCACCTGAACTACTGGGAACGCTTGGAAGCACTTGACTCATACTTGTTGGAACACAGGAGGGAGAGATATATCATACTCTACACTTGGAAAATCCTAGAAGGAATGGTCTCGAATCTGCACACAGAAATCGCTCCCTACATAAGTAGAAGACTGGGCAGGCGATGCAAAATACCCCAATTAAAAGTAGGGGCGCCATTGGTACACTAAGAGAAAACACCATAAGTGTCCGGGGCCCAAGACTGTTCAACAGCCTCCCACCAAGCATAAGGGGAATTACCAATAGGCCCCTGGCTGCCTTCAAGAGGTAGCTGGACAGATACCTAAAGTCAGTGCTGGATCAGCCGGGCTGTGGTTCGTACGTTGGACTACGTGCGGCCAGCAGTAACAGCCTGGTTGATCAGGCCCTGATCCACCGGGAGGCCTGATTGTGGACCGGGCCACGTGAGCATTGATCCCCGGAATAACCTTCAGGTAGGCTCCAGGTAGACGTATGTTTTATGAAGGAAGAATTCTGTTCCACTTCCCCATGGAGCTAAGAGGAAATAAACAAGAACAAAAACAACTAACAAGAAAATAGAAGAAAACCCAGAGGGGTGTGTGTGTGTATATGGGTACCATCAGACTTAAAACCGAGCTTGGGTCGAACCAACAGATCGTAAGTCAAAATGGACATAAGTCGAACCATATTACTGAATATCAACATCACATTTTTGTAATGATTTTATTTTATTGTTTTATTTTGGTATTTACTTTTCTTTTTATGTTTTTAGTTTAGGATAAACACTGTGTACAACACAAACAGTTGTTTATTTCCCGGAAATTTGGCATACCAAACATGGTCATAAGTCAAGTGGTCGTATGTCGATGAGGTCGTAAGTTGAATGGTAGGCGTATATGCTTGTACATACACGTGTAGTGTGACCTAAGTGTAAGTAGAAGTAGCAAGACATACCTGAAATCTTGCATGTTTATGAAAATAAGCAATTAAGTTTATTCAGGTATACACAAATACAGTGGACCCCTGAGTTTCGTGATTAATCCATTCCAGAGAGCCCGCCGAAGGTCGAAATTCACAAAACTCAAAACCATTTTCCCCATAAGAAATAATGGAAATAAAATTAATCCATTCCAGACACCCAAAAATATTAAAATAAAATATTTTTTTTCAAATTAAATAAAGATTTACATAATGTAAACAATCAGAAATCAAGTACATGCATTTAAAAAATAATAATAACATTACACTTACCTTTAATGAAGACTTCTGCATGGATGGAAGATGGGAGGAGGGGATAGGAGGAAGGTGTACACTATTGTTTGGAAGGAGAATCTCTTCCATTAGCACTGTAGGTAGCACGTCCTTATCTGGGGTTACTTCCCTTCTTTTAATGCCACTGGGAACAACTTGAGAGTCACTGGACCCCTGTCGCACAAAATATCTGTTCAGAGAGGTCTTTTACTGGCGTTTCTTTAAGATTTCCCTGAAGTGGGACACAACACTGTCATTGTACATGTTGTAGATATGGCTTGTTTCAGCTTGGTCAGGGTGATATTTTTCAACAAAACTTTGCAACTCATTCCACATTCCACACATGTCCTTAATCACTGAAGAAGGCACCTCATCCACTCCCTCTTCCTCCTCCTCTGAAGCAAGTTCCTCGGCTGTGGTCTGATGCTGTTCCAGTTGAAGCTCTTGCAGTTCGTCAGTGGTTAGCTCTTCCCTGTGGTCCTCCACCAACTCTTCCACATCCCCGTCACTCACTTTATTTACCAAAGGGCTTGCACTAGCTTTCCTTGGGTCCATGAACACTTATTTAGCAGTTCCAAGCACAAAAAACAATGGATTATTATGAAATGTATTGTATGAACCCTCGGGGTGATGGTCACGTGTTGATAAATAATAGCACACTGAGCGTGAATGGCGTGGGAGACTGGCTTGGTGTGCGTGGTGACGGGCAGACCGGTACCAGACGGTCGCCGAAACACGAGTCTTTTCACGAAACTCGAGGCCAAATTTTTCCAAAAATATTCGCCAAAGGTCGAATTTCGCGAAAGTTGAGGCTGCCGAAACTCGGGGGTCCACTGTACAGTTACATAGATTATCATACATAGCAGCATATGTGTAGAGAACCTAGGATAGCCCAAAAAAGTCAGACAGAAAAAACACACCAGCAATCCTACCATCATGTAAAACAATTACAGGCTTTCAGTTTACAATAACCACTGTGAAAAATAGTGAAATCCAAGCGTTTTTGTGATTTCTCACATTATCAAGGAACTATAAAAATAAAAGATTAACAGGAAGGCACATAAGGATGAGACTACACATTACGACCACCTCAGCAACACCTGAGATACAGACAGACCTTACCTTTCAAGAGTTTTGAGAGTTTCACTATTGGAGCCCGGCCATCTGGTGCTTGCCTTGTCAACCAGGCTGTTGCTGCTGGAGGCCCGTTGTCCCACATATCCATCACAGCCTGGTTGATCTGGCACCTGGTGAAGATACTTGTCCAGTTTCCTCTTGAAGGCTTCTGCACTTGTTCCAGCCGTGTTTCTGATATCTGGTAAGATGTTGAATTGACTGGGACCCTGGATGGGTCCCTTATTGTTCCCACCACACCCCTGCTCCTCACTGGGTTTATTTTACACTTTCTCCCATATCTCTCATTTCAGTATGTTGTTATGGCAGTGTGCAGATTTGGGACCAGGCCCTCATGTATTTTCGAGGTATATATTATGTATCCTCCACTCCAGTGAGTACATGTTCAAGACTTGAAGGTGTTCCCAGTAATTTAGGTGCTTTACTGGCTTAGTGTGAGCCATAAATGATCTCTGTATTTGTTCCAGCTCTAATATTTCTCATGCTTTGAATGGGGCCATCAGCAACATTCTAAGTGAAGGAGCTCTTGCGATTTGAAGAGTGTCACAGTTGGCATTATTTCCCTTGTTTTGAAAGTTCTCAATACCCACACTGTCATCTTCCTGGTTGTCATTATCTTTGTCTTGTTATGATCTTTAAAAGAAAGGTCAGCTGATATAATTATGCACAGGTGTTTTACATGTTCCTTTCGTTCTATTTTGATGACCCTCTTGAGTTTTGTATATAGTCTTCCTTTTGAGTTCTTCATTCTTTCCATACCTAAGCAGCTGGAACTTACCACTATTGAACGTCATGTTCTCCTCTGCCCACTGGAAAACCCTACTTATGTCTTTCTGTACTTTTTCAGTGTCCTCTACCGTACAGACTTTCATGCTTATTTTAGTGTCATCTTCAAATGATGATATAAAAGTGACTGGTGTTTTTATCTATGCTATGAGGATGAGAAACAGCAGAGGTGCCAGGATAGTGCTTTGGGGCACTGAGGTTTTTACCTTGCTGATGTTGGATCTTGCTCTATTTACTGCTACTTTTTGTGTTCTGTGTGTTAGGAACCCGAAAATCCATCTGCCTACCTTCCCCATAATGTCCATGGCCTTCATTTTGTTCGCTATCACTCCATGATCACATTTGTCAAACGCTTTTGCAAAATCTGTGTAAGTCACATCTGTGTTTTGGTCATCTTCCAGTGCCTCTGTAATTCTGTCATAATGGTTCAGTAGACACACACACACACACACACACACACACACACACACACACACACACACACACACACACACACACACACACACACACACACACGCACGCACGCACACATGCTCGCACGCACATGCACATGTGCATGCCTGCACATGCACACGAATGCACACACACACATGCACACATGCACATGCACACACACACATGCACACACGCACACACGCACACACACACGCACGCGCGGCACACACACACAACACACACACACACACACACACACCACCACACGCGCGCGGCACACACACACACACACACACACACACACACACACACACACACACACACACACACACACCACACACACACACACACACACACACAACATACTGCACACACACACACACACATGCACACACACACACACATGCGCACACACACACACACAGCACACAACACACACACACACACACACACACACCACAACACACACACACACACACACACACACACACAACACACACACACACAACACACATACACACACACACATGCACACACACACCACATGCACACACACACACACACACACACACAACACACACACCACACACACACACACAGCTGCACCACACACCTGCACACACACACCTGCACACACACACATGCACACACACCTGCACACACACACATGCGCCACACACACACACACACACACACACACACACACACACACACACACACACACACACACACACACACATGTATGTATGTATATATAATGTGCATATATGCAGGATTTATTTACTTAGTTGATATAGTAATGCAATATATTTTATGATTTCTGCATGTGGATATTCCATAGGACATACAATTTTGGTGTGCTTGTCTGACGTATTGTATGTTGCAGGCATCGATGGACCTGCCCCCCGACAAGGCCAAATTGCTGAAGCAATATGATGAAGTGAAGAAGTGGGATATGATCTGTGACCAGGAGCGGGTGAGCGCCAAGGACCCTCCATCACACTACCTCAACAAGCTCAAGACCTACCTCGACCCCAAAGCCTCAAGGTCTAGCAGGGTGAGTACTGTACATCCTCTCTGCTGTCTCACATTCAGCCTTCCTGCCTCCCTACACATTATTAATGGTTTATGGGAGTACATAGATAAGTTAGCCAAAAAATGTGCTCTGAAGGAAAGTGAAGAATATAACTTTGGTGTGTCAGTGTCTAGCATTAGGAATAATATTAGGAGAAAACTGAAAAGTAAATAATAAAACAGTCTTATAAGAATACAAAGTTGTTGATAAGTAGAATAATCTCCCAGATAGGGTAATGGAACCTAAACCCTTGGGTAGCTTTAAAAAGAGATTAGACAGATATATGAGTAGGAAGGGCTGGGTTTGATTATCTGAAGTATTCAAGCAAATTCTTCAGTGGTTTTGGGTAAAGCTTAGACAGGTGGGTGGGAATGGTTGGTTTTGAGAAGCACTTGCCTAGTATGGGCCAGTAGGCCTGCTACATTGTTTCTCGATTCTTATGTTCTGAGTAGATCAAAAACCCACTATGATAACGTTCAATAAATAATTATGTTTACGGAGCAAATTCCAGTGTGAACAGACTGGCTGGTTTTGCAGTAGCCAGGCCTAGGCTTGATTACAAGTACTTATGGCAGTTTGGCAAAGACACAAATGATGATCAAACCAAATGCAAAGTATGTAGCCAGTCCTATGGTCACTTTCTTGGACAATATGTTCTGTAATGTTTACTTATTGAAGAATATAGAATATAGTAACTTATGTGTTATGTCAAGATATCTTATTAATGACAATAACATACCAGACATTAGGAAAATTTCCTAAATTTTCTTGCAACAGATAAGTCAGCTGTAGATATAAATCTAGTTGTAATCCTGTAAACCCTTTTGGGGTCTAGTTCCTAGAGTTTTTTGTGTATCCATATACTCTTGTGCTACCATCCACAGGATGGATATGGGGTGCACAATAAGCTAGCAGCTTTGGCAGGTAAATCTAAAATCTAAAATTAAGTTCTATATCAACTTGAAATTCAAAACAATTATTCTGTAGAATACATAATGAAACTGAGATACCATGAGCATAGCTTTACTCTCTAGCTATAAACAGGTGATTATGTATTTTCAGTTAAAGAGACTGGGAAACACAGACAACAGCCTACATACTGGTCTTGAGTAGCAAAACTGAACAATACACAGATAACCTGCACTTAGGAGACTGAAACTTATGATGAGGTTTTGGTCTGACTTGGACCATTACCTAGTTGCACAGCAGCATGAAGGGAAGGGAGCCAGGATATATACAAGAGAGGGGCTGGGACGAGAATAGTGTAACTAGAGAAGGCAATAATAATAGTAGCAGTAGTATTAGTGGTGGTAGATGTGGTAGTAGTAGTAGTAGTGGTGGTTGTGGTAGTAATGGTGGTGGTAGTAATAGTGATGGTAGATGTGGTGGTAGTAGTAGTAGTGGTGGTGGTGGTAGTAGAAAGAGTATTGCAACAATGGTAGAGGTGGCAGTAATAAGGTATTAGTGGTAGTGAAAATAAAAGGAGAAGAGAATGGAGACTTAGCTAAGAGATAGTGGTAATAGTAGTAGTAGAAGTAATAGTGGAGGTAGTGCAAGACAGGTATACAATACCAACAAGATGAAAGTTAAGACACTTGTGCAACGTCTGGTTATCTTTATTGTAGACGTTTCGCCATCCAGTGGTTTTATCAATACAGATTCTTGGACATAATAAGAAATCAGAAGAACTATATACAAAAGTTGAGGTAATCAGTCCCTCGGCCTTGGAGGTGGTGTTTAGAGCACTGTGGTAGTAGAGATTCTGAAGCACAGGCAAGGAGACTGGCGCTTATATAGGCGTCAGTGAAAGGGGCGTGTAGCAGACAAGGACATAGTCACTGGTAGGCGGGATTCTCCAGTGGAAGTAGGTCCTACCCAAATTGATAAAGCCACTGGATGGCGAAACGTCTACAATAAAGATAACCAGATGTTGCACAAGTGTCTTACCTTTCATCTTGTTGGTATTGTATACCTGTCTTGCACAACTTGTCAGGCACTGCAACATCATGGAATCTTGGCTCAGAAGACATCTACATCACCTTCTTCATGGCTACTGCAACTAACCCATCAATTTGGGTAGGATCTACTTCCACTGGGAAATCCCGCCTACCAGTGACTATGCCCTCGTCTGCTACACGTCCTTTTCACTGACGCCTATATAAGTGCCAGTCTCCTTGCCTGTGCTTCAGAATCTCTACAACCATGGTGCTCTAAACACCACCTCCAAGGCTGAGGGACTGATTACCTCATCTTTTGCATATAGTTCTTCTGATTTCTTATTATGTCCAAGAATCTGTATTGATAAAGCCACTGGATGGCGAAATGTCTACAATAAAGATAACCAGATGTTACACAAGTGTCTTAACTTTCATCAATAGTGGAGGTAGTCTAAGAACAAGAAAAAAAGAGAACTAATTGCCCACGAGGTGTAGGACCAAATCCCAGCAGGACAAAACTCCATAGTACAGAACCCACTGAGGCAAAAGACAGGAAAGGCAAGGAAAGGAAAAGAGGTAAGGAAAGGAGATAAAGATCAGGACAATGTATTAAGGAAGGAAGGCATTGTAAGATAAAGATAAAGGTTTATTTCTTTGCAAAGGTTACAGTGTGTAATTATCATGCAGGGGCATTTTGGGCAGACTAATCCCAATACATAGTAACTACTTTAAACTAGACAGATGATGTACATAATAACTACTAAAAACTAGACAAGTTGCACATAAAAACAATGTTACAAATAATGGTTCAGGCAGTAATATTTCATGGACTGGCAGAAGTTTAAAAGTCTAGAGGTCACATAATATAACTAATTAGCATTTGTTTTGGTTGAATTGGTTAGTATTGAGAGATTAGATGATTTTTTAGCAAAGTCCTAAATTTATAAGTAGTCAAGAGATCTTTTACTGGTTCCTGTAGTGAGTTCCAGATCTTCGGGCCCTTTATGTGCATAGCTTTTTTGCATAGTGTGAGACTGACACGAAGGATGTTGAATAGTGTCTTATGCCTTGTATTATGACTGCATTCTTTTGTGACTGTCAAGGAGTAGTTTAAGTGAAAGGTTTTTAGTGGAAGGAAGGAACAAACAGGGGGAATGGTACAGAGAGGACAGGTGGGCAGCAAAATGGGGTTTACCAAACCAGGCATCAGCTCATCAAGACCAAATAAGCAACTAAACGTGAAGCCAGTACTGGAGAAACCAGGAGCGTGTACACCAGAGGACATACCAGGTAGTACATCACCAGTGGTACTAATGAAACACAAAGCGATACAAAACATCCCAAATTGTAATTCCTGCTTCATATTTGCAAATATCCAGGGTTTGAAATCAAATAAAAATGACAAAGTTAGCTATGTCAGTGGGCTCCTAACAGAAGTGAATACCATGTTTGGAACATTTACAAAAACACATATGAGGGATGTTTTGGATGGAGAGATAAAGATAGAAAACTACAACATGTATAGATGTGATAGAATTAATAGGTCACAGGGAGGAGTAGGAATCTATGTAAAAGATACTTTCTGTTGCACAGAAGTGCTGAACTTTATGAATGATATGGTAGAAATTCTAGGCATTAAAGTTGAAAATAGGAATTTGGTAATTATCCTAGTATACAAACCACCATCAGCAACTGCTGAGGAATTCACAGATCAGCTAAGGAAGATAGATAGCTATCTGGATAGGCTAGAAAATCCCACACCAAATATTTTACTCCTTGGAGATTTTAATCTCACTCATGTAAAATGGAAGATGGCACAACATAATGTTATACCAGAAATATCTCCGGGAAGCACCCTGGCTCAACAGGCACATACCAGGGAACTAATGAGGCTTTGTGAAAAGTACTCATTAAAGCAACAGGTAATTGATCCCACCAGAGATGAAAATACCCTGAACTGATCAGAGACATAACAGTTACAAAAACAATATACTCTGATCATAACATCATAGAAGTTCAAATGAGTATTAACTCAGGGTTAGGAAACTGCGTCACTATTGTTAGAGACGGGATGTTCAGTAAGTTTAATTTTAACAGCCATAGAATTGACTGGGAAAAAATAAACCAAGAGCTATCAGATATGAGCACCCTAAATCCCCACCAGTACCTAGAGAAGCTGAATAGAGAAACATACAAGGTATGTATGAAGCACGTACCATTGAGGAAACCCAGAAGAAGATCAGATATAGAGAGAGAGCGTAGGAGATGGTACAGAAGAAGAAAACAGGTTACTGAATTGCTTAAAAATGCAAATATGCTACAACAGAGGAAAGATAGACTTAGCTGAGAGATCACTGAATTAGAGCAAAAACTTAGGATGTCATTCCTCATAGAAGGAGTGCAAAGGGTCATACAGGATATTGCAAGAAGCCCAAAATATTTCTATTCCTATGCAAAATCCAAGCTGAGAACTACCTGTAGAACTGGACCACTACTGAGAGGAGATTCTTATACTGACAATGAACAGGAAATGAGTGAAATCCTAAAAGAATAGTATGAGTCAGTGTTCAACCCACTAAATGACAGCAAGGTAGAAAATGCAGAAATATTTTTCACTCCAGAAGAAGGCCGCTCAAACCAACTAACTGACATTAGTACAAATCTCGTAGTTTTTGAAAAAGAAATGGAAAACATGCACACACACTCAGCAGATGGTAGATTCATGGAAAGAATGCTCTATTTATAAAGAAGTGCAAAGTACACTTTAGCATGGGCCTCAGTTATTTTTGGAGAAAGAGCTTAGATCTAGGTGAAATACCAGAGCCTTTAGAGTGCAGACATAGCTATTTACGGGAAAGGGAGATAGTAGAGCACTAGCTAAAAATTACACACCAGTAGCCCTAACTTCTCGCATCATAAAAATCTTTGAATGAGTGATGAGACGGCATAACCCGAACCAGCATGGTTTTAGAGCAGGACAATCATGCCTGTTCAAAAAAAAAAAGTTGTTTTTGCTGAGCCATTATGACAGGAATTACGGAGGCC